TGGCTTTCTGCTTCAAGGTGAACATGAGCAAGAGCCCCCTGGGCAGGGCTATGAAGACAGGCATCTAACTCCTCCTGGCTTTGCAGAGTCCCATTTATGAGCCAAGAAAATATGTTCAGCCCCATGTTCATAACCAGCAAATAAAGGTGTCTGTGGAATGGAAATGTATTGTGCCACATCAATTGCAGATGCTTGTTTGAAAAAAGTCTTGAACTTATGACTCAACGTTTGGCTCTTACAAGATGAAAAGCAAGTTTTTACCTCTAACTGCTGCTATTTTATGAGATGGTATTTTTTTCTATGATCAATATGATGTTGATATGTATATATTGTATAATGTATATATCTACATATATCTAATTATTCCATCCCATTTGTCAATGGATTTATCTGAAAATTGTCTTGTAAAATTCAGTTTGTTCAATGAAAATTAAGATAGCATTGTGAGTTATAGTGTTACAGCTAAATGATATATTCTCAAATTTTCTATATGGATTATCTCACTTAAAAGATCATTTTGAAATTATTGATGTATTTATAATAATCATGGCTAAGAGCATTAAGAAATCAATTATTTTCCACTGGTGGGTTCTGGTAATGCATACACCATACAGCACACAGGGCAGGACTAGCAAGAGGAGGAGTTCAATACATACTTGTTAAATGAACATTTACTGGGTTACACAGTATTTAGCATTCCCATGGGCATGAAAACAGTTTAGAAATATAAAAATTGATGCAATTTACTTAACTTGGAAATTGTTAGTCCACTGGCCTATAATCTTATGTTTCTGGTCTCATTTATATTCTCTTGATATCAGATCTAAGCCATTTAGTTTTTCTCTTCAGGAAACTAAGATGAAAGAAGAGAGGACTAGTGCTTTTTATTTACATGTGGGAAGCCCAGTGTTTGAGTTCTGGAAGACTTTATTTCTCAATTCTGTGTGTACTTTGATGAGAGTCATTGATTTAATCTGAGTGTTTTTTTTAAATTATTGAAATTTCTAAAGAAAATCTCAAATAAAAGATGATCCACAAAGTTCTGCACCATCGATCATGGTAACAATGAAGAAAATGCAGAGAGTGCATGGGTTGATTTTTAAAAACTATTTTAATACAAGATTAATAGCAATTTTTCTATCCAAATCAGAAATGAAAAATCTTAACCCAAATAAGAGTTGTTTGACAGTCACATGAAGTTTTCAGTTTGATTGGTGCACACATTTATCCTGCATATAGATGACGTATATGCACACAGAGACCTCACCACGATGCCATCCGTAGGTGTTTTTCTTGGAAGTACTTCATTACAAGGCAGTGTTAGAATCTAGTCTCTTCTCAGCCTTGAAGAAAGTCAACAAATGTTCCCATGCTAAGCTGAGTCTGTGCTGCAAACCAAGTCTCCAGAATGCGTACAAATCAATACTCTAGTTGTTGTACTTGGCCTAAAACTCAACACTGGCTAATATTTGCACCAAGGAGGAATGTAATGCAAACGTATGTTATAATTTCCTTCACTCTCTTTTTGTTAGCAAAGCTCAACTTTTTAAAAAGTAAAAGACATTAAGTTGGGCACTGGTGGCTTATGCCTGTAATCCTAGTTTACTTAGGTGGCTGATATCTGAGGATCTTGGTTTGAAGGCAGACTGAGCAGACAAATCTGAGACATTCTTATCTCCAACTAACCAGCAAAAAGACAGAAGTGGAGGTGTGGCTCACGTGGTAGAGTTTCAGTCTTGAGGGAAAGAGCTAAGCAAGAGCCTGAGGTTCTGATTTCAAGCCCCAGCACTGGCACATACACACACCAAAAAGTAAGATGTTAGTGACTATACATCAATGAAAATGAATCTTAATTTCTGCAAATTTTGGATAAGTCAAAAACTGCATTTGTTGACCCTTTTACCTTGAAGGAAGCCACCTCTTAGCCTTGCAAAGAGAAGTAATAAAAGAATCACAACTCAAGAATTTGCTGTTTCATTCCTCCTTGGTGATTTTAGTTGTGTTCAGTCTGTAGCCAAAGCATGTGTGTGATGGCAAAAGAATTACAGCAGGCTAATGTCTGTAGCAGGGGATATAAATTAAATCTCAGGATTCTGTATCCAATAATATTTTCAATGTGTTTGATTTTCCAGAATGTTGTTTTTTTTAAATTGTTACTGCTTGTCACTATTTTTAAATAGTGTTTTTCAGTCTAGTCAAAATTGTACATTTCTTGCCCTTACATTTGAAGTAGGTGATACATATTATTTCTCCTGCTTCGGAAAGTTTCTGTAAGGGAGTCAGGTTTCTCGAACAAATGTTCTCAGATGGCTGTAATCAAAGTGCCCACGTGGCCTTCCTTTAAAGACAGAAATCTGTCTCATGGCTCTCTGGGAGGACAGAACCACAAACAGAGCTCTTACCCACAACTTTTCAATTCCTTCTTCTCTGCTAAAGACCTTAGCCTCAGATTAGGTTTTGTTGTAAAATACACAAAGTATAAGATACATCAATTACAGACATGTATTTCTGTTAGAAAAATACATATTATAACTAAAGAACATGTAAATAGAGGCACTTCAATAAGCTAAGTGTTTGTAGTTGTGAGTCTCACCCACCCACTTCTAGTATCTGAATTCAGTGAGCCCATTCCTCTCTACTCGTAAGTCATGATGTGATTACAGAATTTAGGGGACATTACAATAAATGTGGGGAGGTCATGACATCAATGGAGTGTCACTGTGTCCCCTGTCACTATGCCAAAAATGAGAAGAATTAAATTTGGAGGAGTATCCCAAGATACATGTTGAAAAAGGGGTAAGCAGAGTCAATGAACTCGCAGTGATAGGAAAAAAAAATAAGCTCTCATGTTAAATTAGTCTGAAAATCATACAGAATAATAGGAAGATGATAAAGACCAGGAATAGTAATTGAGTATTGTTTGGACCATATCCATGCAAGGTGGCTAATATTGTGGCATCATTAATGGATAATCCTTTCAGCTCACTGCCCAGTTCATATGTCTCTTCAACAGGAGTAATATTTATAATGACGGTGTTAAAACACATGAAGCAGGCATTTATATATTATCTGTGCGATTAGTGAGTACAGAACATGGGTTCACATTCATTAAGATAATGTGTTTTCATACACATGCACAAAACCATTTGGGGGTACAAAGCACAGGGTAAAACACGACATCCTGATCCATTTCATGGAAGATAATGCAGAAATATAGTTTTAAAAAGAAAGACTTGGAGTTTAAAGCCATAAAACAAGTTATTACTCAAATATTATGAAAAAACCCCAGTGGATTTAATTTGTATTGCACCTTAATTATTGAAGGAAAAAAAAAAGCCTGGTTTCTAAACATACAATGAAATGAGCAACACAAATGATCCTTCAGAAAGAGATGTTCTGTGTCATTGGCAATAGGAAGTCAAAGGTTGGTGGTGAACTGTTGGGTGGTTTTCTAGAAGTGTGAAATACTGAACTAGATAGTTAACTTTATGACAACTTAAATGAAAGATGCCACAAAGTCTTGCAGAATCCTACATTTCAAATTTCATTAGGCATAACGTGCCAATAGATGCGTGTAAATACTTTCTGTTCTGTCAAGATGCTCAGATATACTTAATACTATTGCGTGCGTACTACTAAAATGGAATGACTTAAATCCATAACTAATTTTACTTTTTGATGAGAACAGAGATCGAAAGGTATCACGTATGTGTCAATACTGAGGATGAGTTAGTTAAAAATGTGAGTGGCCTACTATAGTAGTCTCTCACACATTCCCTTTCCCTAGTCCAAATGCATCAGTAAAACCAAGAAACACCTGGACAGCCAACTAACTGTATTCATAAAGCCCCATATAGTATATTTTGTTTCTTTCTGCCCAGGGGGGAAAGAGTTAGGCCTGGCTTGGCAGATAGCTTAATCTGTGGTTCTTGAATGAACTCGCATTTAGGCCATTTGTCTAAGTGCCAAGCAGTAATTCAGACCAAAGGTGTACATGAAAGCAATGTTGTGTGTGTGTGTGTGTGTGTGTGTGAGACTAACATTCTTTACACATACAGTTTTTCATCACTAGGCCTGAACACCTGGGGCTCGTCCCATGAGCTCAATACAGGCTGGAGCACCAGGAACAAAGCATGCTCTTGAGAAAAAGGTGTGCCCTGGCAAACTTTTAGTAGATGGACAGTTAGATACATAAAAAAGGTCTCTGTCTTGAGTCTTGGTGCTCATAGGTCATTGAGGAATTCCTTCACTGAGCAGCACAAAACAAGAAGAGCTGGTTGACAAAACATTTTTGTTACAAAGGTGTGTCAACCCTGAGCTTAGAATTAAGAAGTTAAAATCTGTGATTTATATATATATTTATAGATATAAAAATAGATGATCATACTAAGACTAAAAAAGTGAAAGAAATCTCCATGTCAATACTATATATATATATAGGGTTTTTTTTCTTTAACTTTTTTTTGTCTGTTGTGAGTTATTTTGTCAGAGAATGCCCTTGTGATGTAGAAACCAATTGACACAAAACAAGTAATTAAAAATGAAAACGGATGTGTAGATCTACTTGTCAATTCAAGAAAATAATTGGACATGGTAAGAGTCATGAACACAGGGCAAAAAAAAAACCCCACTTAATCCATGATCAACTTACAGCAAAAGCAATGATTGTATCATTGAAGGCGATTTTCAATAGACTTGGGAGAAACATGATTCATTAGGGGTGTCTATAAGTAACTGAAGAAAAATCTGTGCCAATTGGATACAGTGGACAGACATGAAGGAAATTTAAAAAAGTGGTGCCATTAATGAACTTGAAATTAGGCAGGTGAGAGAGAGAGAGAAACAGAGAGAGAGAGAGAAAGAGAGAGAGAGAGAGAAAGGTGCTGAGTTGTAGTAAGGTTTACTCTTGCAGTAAAGAAGGAATTCTAAATTTAATATCAGTACCTCCAAATCAATTTGGTATTGTGTAGGTCAGAGTGCAAGACAATGCCTCCAAGACAACACTGTACTTTGCTACAACTTTAAAAAAATTCAAGCTTTCTTCCCATAAATATCTGTGTCATCTTGGTTTGTCACGGAAAAGCTTCCCTGGGAGTTGGATGTTAATATTGAACCTATAACATGAAAGTTCCTTTATTTTCCTCTCTTGTTGCTTCTTTGTTGAAAATGCAGTTGTCTTGGGGTTTAGCCTGATTTTAAAAGGAAAATTCTTTTTTCTTCCTACCTTTTTTTTTAATGGGGAAAAAACCCACAACGTGAGATTCTTTTACTTCTGCAGCATAAAAGCAAATGAAGGTAAGAAAAAAATCTCCTGGTATGAAAGATTTGAGTAAGAATTTTCTCTGCAATAAACAAGGTCCCCACAGATAACTGAAGGAAAGAGGAGGCAGTTCATCTGGCACCCGGTACTCTTTGGGAAAACAAAAAAAGGAGGCAGATTACAATGCTGCTCTCTTCTCATAAAAAAAGGGTAAGTTTTTGTGGCATGGTCCATTGCCCAAGACTGTAAGAAAAGAAGGGAATTGGCCACTCAAATAGCTAAAATGCAGTTTCATCTGACCAAAACCCAGGATTATCTGCACAGTCTCTGCAGTGCCAGGACCACACAGGCCACAGACAAGGAGAGGAGGGAGTGGCTCAGCCGTGCTGCTGAAGAATCTTCTTCCCTCCTGTCGGGGTCAGCAGCTGGGGCCTCTGTGGTGACAAATTCAAATTCCGTGGGACACACGTCATCCATACATCCACTGCCACTGCCTGAGCCGCTGGACTCATCACCTGGTGTGGGAAGATTGAAAAAGAAAGTTATAGCTCACGCTAGGAAGAGACAAAGGTCTGGGAACTTTCCTTCCATAGTGTGTCCACCTGCCCAGGTAGGTTCATTCTTCAAAGTAGGTTTAGGATGGGCTGGTGGTCCATATGGAAATAGGATTGAAACAAAATAGACATTGCTAGCCAGAGTTCTACAAGTAATCTATCCCTATCAAATTGGCATTCAAGAGATGAGTTCTTCCAGTGGTCAACATGAAAATTGTGTTCATATATTTCACGCTTTGCTCTTTTCCTACCTCAGCCGTAGTTGTCCACAGACATCACGCTTTGAAAAGGACTTTAATGAGAGGGAGGAGGGAGAATGATGAAAGAGGTACCACTGATCAAGCTTCACTACTTTGTTGAATGGCAACTCCTTTGTATAACCACTTACAGATAAAATGAACATTTACAAAAGATATTCTAAGATACAGAAAAGGAAAGCAAGCATTGAAAGTAGAATACAAACAAAGACTTGTTGAAGGTAGATGTATACTTACTCTGGCCTCTTTTCCCAATCTGTGTTCTTCTCCTAAGAACAAGAATAGATTCCTTTTCAAGGAAAATCTCCCCTTAAAATGAGTTGACAAGCTAGTGCCATTCTCTTGTTTTTGTATGTCCTACAAAGTAGGAGTTTTTTAAATATCTTTTTTATAAGAATTAAAAAATGAAATGGAGAACAATATTTTGTGACTATAAGAAGCATATAGGTAAAATTCAAGATTTAAGTTTGATTGGAACAGAGTCGTACTTGTTTACGTGCCTATTTATCTATATCTGTGTTCATGTTACTAGAATAGAGTGGACTAGTTGTGCCAGATACCCTATGGTACTGCAAGCCTAACAAAGTTAGTATCTAACTCCTTACAAAAAACACTTGTAGTCCCTGCTTGAAACCAATGTCTTGGGGCTCACCTAGGATGCTGTCTTGGAGTAGTGTCTGCTCTCTCTGCCCAACATGCTTCTTGGTTCACTCTATTCCTGTATCCTAGTGCTTGTTGGACACAAACTTATGGTTTCATAAACCCTGTTTCTCAGATCTGACCCAGTTCAGGCTCCCTCTGTTATACTCAGCCTTCTCCATCTGAGAAAGCTATGTCTGTAAATCCAACCAACTGCAGATCCACATAGTTCCAAAACCCAAAATTTTAATTGGCTTCACATTGAGGTGAACACACATGATTGGGACCTCAGGCTCTTTCCAGCACTATGTAGTTAGTTCTATGAGAGTTGTGTGTGTATTAAACGTAGAAGACATGTATTTTCTTGTTGTTATACCCTAAACAGTACAGAAACACCACCATTGCATATTAGATCTTGTAAGTGAGGATTGCATTAGATCTTGTACTGGAGCATGTGATCAGGATATATGTGAATACTGGTTCATGTTATGGAAGGGCATGAGCATATTTGGATTCTTGTATCCATAGATGGTTCTAGCACCAGTATGGTGCTAGCTCCATGAAAGTACTTAATGACTTGATGAGATTTATCACTTATTTGCTTTTTTACTTACTTTTTCCTTTCCATGAAAATGTAAGTGTTTGATATATATACATATATGTAATTTTTTGATACATATATATTTGATATATACATATACTGTTTATTACACATATATGTATGTATGTTATATATTATATACACTATATATTATATGTAGCATATATTATGTGAATGTATATTGATATAGTATACTATATTCAAATAGTATATATATATATATATATATATATATACTAAATAGTGAACTATATATATAGTTATAGTTTACTACTGAATTTCCATGGTCATTGATCTTATGCAACATATAACAGGGACTCAATCAATATTTGTTGAATAAATAAATGTGCTTAGAACACTTGACTCAACTTCTGTCAGTTTCAGTATCTAAACAAATATGGATGATAGCATTTGCCTTACAAAATGTGTATGAAGACAATGCCATAAAATGCATAAGGAAGCTCATACCTGTAATCTTAGCTACTCAGGAGGCTGAGATTGAGGAACTCAGTTCAAAGCTATCATGGGAAGGAAAGGCCATGAGACTCTTATCTCCAATTAACCACCAGAAAACCAGAAGCAGCTCTCTGCAGCTCAAAGTGGTAAAGGCACTAGCTTTGTACAAGAAAGCTCAGGGACAGCACCCAAGCCCTGAGTTCAAGCCCCATGACTGACAAAAAATAAACAAACAGCATGAGGATATCACATCGTTCACTGATGGAAGAAATAGGATTACAACAGCAAATTTTTATCGGCTATAGTTAATTTAAATAAACTACTTGACCTCCCTTGAGGCTCTGTTTTCTCACCTGTGAAAAGGAAAGTAACAACATCTATGTTGTGGGAAATAAGTGAGAAAATGTTTCTGTAAGGGCTCAGGAAATTGAAAGCTTTATACTGACACTTGCTCTTGCCACCCATGCTCAAGACTGCAACCATAGCCTTAAACTACCTCAGCGCTCATATGCTTGGAGCTGCTTTTAAGGACTTGCTGCCATCTTGGCTGCTGATGCTATTTAAGTAAAGCCACAGAAGGGGAGAGACTCTTTTCAAGCCCTTTGAATGAAAAAGACACACTCAGATGTCCAAATGGGACATCTAAATACCAGATAAGATCATTTGAATACACTATACAAGTTCTTAACATTTTCTCTGCTTTATCTTTAGTGGCCTTTACAAGAGGAAAAATGCCCATTAATTAAATTCCAAGCTTCAGAATTGCTAAGGGAATTGTTCTGAACACTAGTATCATGAACAAGAAGTAATATAACCTTTACAAAGATATTATTAAAGTGACTTGGAGTATTAAAATTGTGGGAAGCAAATAAGGACAAGAGGTTTTAGGTGGTAAAAATAATGTCCTCGTCTCTTCCTGAAAAGGAATCATAAATGCAAGGTGGGTGGAATGGAAAACTCAAAAAAATATGTCACAGGTAATAAGGGTAATGAAGCTGTGAGGTGTCATAATAATTTATATGACAGGCACTACTCTAAAATAGCCAGCCAAGTTAGGTACTTGGGTTGGAATCAAAGGATGCTTTTAGCTCTTGGCAATTTCTGCTTTCTTTTATGGAGAATTGGAGGAAGAGCTCTTCCTTCTGGATTCCTTGAGCTTTTATGAGTTAACATGTACATAGCCTCTTTAGGTCAGAGAGGAGAGAGAAGCATTAAGACCATCATCAACTAATTATTACATGGCTTGTCTTATATATTTCACTAGTTATTCACCAGGTAAGAAAGCATTTTATTACATAAGAAGACAGAATGAATAAAAATGAGGAAATGACACAGTGATAAGGAAATGAGAACGAACAAAAGCGAAAATCTGGGAGAACATTAATTTCTGAAGAGGAAGGGAAACATTGAGAATGAAAGAAAATGGACTGATTCTTAGGAGATTCGCAACAATGAAGTTCATTGGGTTGGCAAGAAGCCTGTGTTGAGAAAATTAATATTGGACTCCTGGAAAATGGAAGAAAGCACTGAGATTGCTCTTCAGGGACATTTTGGTAGGATGGTGGCAAAGACTGAAAATGACTTTAATGTCTTCCATCTGTAACGTGTTTCTCTCTCACTAATTCAAGCACACAGGCATCATTTTCTTCAGGGACTAAATTACAGAATTACTGGTGACTTTTACATCTTTAAGTTCAAGACTTCTTTTCCTAAGAGTTTTCTTAGGATACATATTTAAGAGAAAGCCAACATCTCAGAGCAACCATAACCTAAACCCAAACCCAAAACTACTTGCCATTGTACAGCTATGCATCTAGAGATCACTTATACAAAACAGAAAGGTAGTTAGGGTTTTCATTGGTATTTTGGTAGTTGTTATTGTTCATTTGCTGGTCTTTCAAGTCTCCAATGCATTTGTGATCCTTAATAAGACATTCTCATATAATATGGCACCAGCGTTTTACTCTTTCTCTTGATTCTTCATATACAAATGTATATTGTTTGGGATGTGCACAACTGGAGAAAAATAATGCAGTTGGACCTACTCACTACACAGCAGACACCCTCTTAGTGCCTTCATACATTACGTCAAAGGAGCCTACCAACAAGCTCTGGGCAAAGATGCTTCTCATTCTTTTCTAATGCATAATTCACTTACAATGAAGTCACATTGCAATGAAAAAAAAGAAAGAAAGAAAAACCTAAGTGGAAAAGCACTGAGTCTCTTGACCTGGGAAAAGAGGCAAACCCAAAACCTCTCTCTCTTCCAATGCTGATGATCAAATCAGGGAACTTGCATGGTAGACAAACCCTCAATCACAACATTCCCAGCCCTTATACTTTTGGTGGCAGGTTCTCATTCTTCACTGGGAGAGAAATTCTAGCGCACTCTTCCAGAACAATTTCTCACTGTGGAAGTTACTGTCTGGTAGAGATTTGCTTACTTGTGTCCTGGAAGTTGACGTCATTGCCATTGTAGGCATTCTTCAATTTGTTGGTCATCACACGGAGAGCCATGATCTGCTGTCTGATGAATGTGTCGGGCCGTGTGATGTCCACGTCCACCTCGGGATTGTTGATCTGGTTGGTCAGCCCATCATTCATGATCTCAGGCAAGTATCTGCAAATAGAGGCAGAGGAGGTCAGGGTGATGCAGCAGGAACCCCACAAACAGATGCTGCCGTGGGAGCTTGAACAGGAAGGCAAACCACTTGGTGAAGAGCAATCAAAATCCAAGTTTGTTTATAAGTAGCGTCAAATTCTCAGGTTGACTTGCCTACAATTAAATGCTCACTTGGGGGAGGTGGAACAATTATTTCTGAAAACCCTTCATTCAAGAGGCAGGGGTAGGGGTGAGAAGGTTGAAGGAGGTGACACTGACCAAGATGCATTGTGTTCATGAACTGCTTTGTTATATGGCACCTCCTTTGTACAACTACTTAAAGATAATGAAAAATTTAAAACATTACTGTCAAAAATTCCTCCATTCAAAAAGGTGCTCAGCTCCAAATGAACACCTGATAGCATCTTCAATTCTGTCAATTTTGGTAATAAGAACTGGACCTACAAATGGCATATGATCTGAGAGTGTTCTCATAGGAGGCTCTTTCCAACAGAAGGAGAATTGTAACCCAAATAACCTTGGTAGATATATAAGAAATCATTTTAGCATGTTTGATATGTCAATAAGGATATTTATCTTATAACAGCGGATGTTATAAGATGTTTTATATATATACACTCATACGGACTCATGTATATGTATATGTATGTATGTATGGGTGTGTGTGTGTATGTGTGTGTGTGTGTGTGTGTGTGTGTGTGTGTGTGTGAATGCATGTGGCATTGTAATCTGGGTTTGAACTCAGGCCCTGATACTTGGTTTGTTTGATCAGCTGGCATTCTACACACCTCCAGTTCTGCTTTTTGGAGACAGAGTCTTACGGACATTTCTGCCCAGGAGGGCTTCCAATTGCAGTCCTCTGGATCTAAGCCTCCTGATAGTATGAATTATAGGCATAAAACACTGTCATCCAGCTTGAGCCTCATATTTCTTTTGATTGTACCAAAAGGTCAAAATTGTCAGTCTTCCAATGTCCCCTGCTTAACAATGGAGCAGTTATACAAGTGGAGCTAGAGGTTTCAGGAACATTCTTGGAACCTTTTGGATTCCTCACCCTCATAACCTGACACCTTTCTGGTCTGCTCACTCTTGGTCTCACAAAGCTTTTCAGAGCTGCTTCTTTCTTTCTACTGTCCTTCCTTGAGGTATCTATAAAAACAAAAAATGGCTCTAAGTGACTTCCCTTCCCATCATTGTTCTTTCTCTTCTAATGCATTCACACAGCTGTGTGGTTAATCTTCCTAAAACATCCCTTCTCTCCTGTCACTTTTGTTCAGTGAACCCTTACTAAGTGGGGTTTAAACTCAGGACTTGCTAAGTAGGTATTCTACTACTTGCTGCACACTTCTAGCACTTCACACATACAAAAACGTAAGTCTGGTCTTCCAGTCCACTAAAGAGCTAGGAAAGATTTATCTCCATTGTGTGAAATGGAAAACCTAGTTTTAGTGGGGACAAACAGATGAACAGGCTAATAGATTTAAATGTGGCCTACCTCCAGAGTCCACAAACCCAGCCGCTGCATGATACTGCCTGGCAGGTCATAACCACAATTCATACTTCACAGCTCAGCCATCAAAGCCCAGCTCCTGGTCCTACTTTCTTCAGGTTGTGACCCTCCTGTCAATGGATTCTTCTTGTCTTACAGAATCTCATCCCTGTATCCATCTATAGTTGGCTGTCTACGATAGTATATATACTTGGTCTTTAACTCTGTTTTCTGGTTCCTGAATTCCTCCCCAAGACCAGCCAAAGAAACTAGAATTTCCCTTCCCCAAGGTAGGTTATAGGATCTCAAATTTGCTGCAAGATAGGAGAACACATAGAGGTTACAGAAGGACCTGTTCAAACTTGCACCAAATGGCACAGCAGCTGTTGAACTAAGGCCTGGCAGGGTGGAAGCCAGGTAGTCAAAGAACTCTCAAAGATATCTCTAGTCCCGTCTGACCTCTGGCTGCAGCCTCTTATGGGCAGGGCCAGACTGGTAGGCAGCCCATTAGGAAGCTTCAGAGATCCCTCAAGAGGAGGTCCGATCATGGCAAAGGTATCTCTTGTATATCAATATTCTTTTAAAAATAATTTTTTTATTACAGTTAAATGATTATATACAGGGGCTTCAGTTCAGCATGTCAATTATGAGTGCAATGTATCTATTCATCATCCATAAATTCTTATTGGATTCTAAGATTGTCTTCCTGGGGTGACTTTTAACACATTGACTGCCATTCACGTGTAATTCTATGCACCAGATTCCAGGAGTTCCAGCTAATTGCAACGGCCCATTAGACTAACATGATCAGAGCAGGCCTTTTGCTGCTGACACAGATTAAAGTGTGCAAAGGGAGAGGGAATGTAGATGCCACCCCTTCAAATTCTAGACTTGGAGTTCTGCAGCCATAGCTGGCTGGCTCAGAGGCAAGTTCTGCTTCTCTCCCCTGTGGCACTGCACACACTGCTGGGTTGGCTAAGCCTCATTTATCAGCAGCTCACTGCAGTGTCTTCCATGGGAATGCTGCCCCTGGGAGTCGAAACATCCAGCAAACAATAAGAGATTGCCAAGAAGACCCAGCTTCTCACCGTGCCTACTGATGCTCAGCCACTTACTGTCAAAACAAGGAACAGCACACCTGTACCCTCCAGAGTCTTTTCTCCTTTGGCTGTATTCAAAGGGCAACTTTAAAGACAGTGTGCAAACTTAAACTTAAAATGGTTGAAAAAGGAAAACAGCTCTTTTGTCACTCAAGATATAGGTCCCTGGGCCAAATCCACAGGTGACAGCTGGAAGGCTTTGTGAAATCCACCTGGGGCACTAGAGGCTCATGAGGCCATTAATTTGTGTCTCTCCTGTTTGGCTTCTTTACATGAAACTCATGTCCTGCAAGAATAGACTGGTGATTGAGCACACAAGGTGCCTTCCCCCCCCATTAATTCCTGCATAGCTCTTTGACACAGCAGCCATGGGCTTTCTGTGCCATTCTGTATCTCGGAGACACAGAAGGAAACTCTTGGTGCTGGCGGCCCAGGTTCCAAGGCTGGATGCACATGCACTTGGAACAGGAAGAACCCAGAAGCAAGGACAAATTGGAGTGCTGAAGAGGGATGCTGTTTTCTGCCAACGCGCCATGCTGCGGAGTGGCAAGTGGGTGGGCGAGAACAGCCAGGCAGAGCCTCCTCATTTTGATTGGCTTCTGTTTATAAGAACATGGCTAGGAGCTAAATCCTTGACAGCTCGACAGAATGATTTTTCTTCACATCCAATCTCATATTGCTAGTGTGGTTTCCTAAACTATAGCCAGACATTACAGCGGAATGGGGTATATGCCCCATGGAAACTTAGCAGGGGAGAGGGGTTTAACATCCAACCTTGTAGGCAGCTGGAGGCTCTGTGCTGAGACCCCTTCAAGCAGAGTTGACAGCTTCTGTCATCTGAATGACATTAAAGACACTTGCCATCCATGCAGAACTTTCTCACTGGCCAAGCACTGCACCTGACATTCTCACCATTGAAATGCATTCCTCCTGGTTGAGCCAATGCTTCCAGACAGCTCCTATTGTTAAACGAATGTGCTTGTTGGGAGGAGAGACATGGTAACTTGTTTAAGTTTCAGTATTTCTCATCAGCATGCTTCTGCTGGTAGTTATTTTGACCTAAGGAGTACATCACAGACACACACACACACACACACACACACACACACACACACACACACACTCAAAACTGGGGCTTGAAAGCTAACAGAAGTTTGAGAAGTAAGGCACTAGCCTAGAAGGTGAGCTGAGAGGTATCCAGGTGATTGACGGGAGTCCAAATGGGAGCTGTGTTAAGTTTTCTGTCCCTATGATAAAATGCCTGAGGGAATCCAAAAAAAGAGGGACTTATTTTGGCTCATGGTTTCAGTGCATGGTCACCTGACTGGCTCCATTCCTTTGGGCCTGAGGGAGGTAAGGCAGAACAAATGGAGGAGGAAGGCTGCTCAGTTCATGGCAGCTGGGAAGCAGAGACCAACAGGATGGGAATAGACACAATATATCCGTTAGGGTCAGATCCTCAACGAAGTACTTCCTCTCATTAAACCACTTGTCCTAGTTTCCAATACATCTCAATAATACCATCAAATTATGAATCCATCAGTTGGCTAATCCACTGATGTGGTCAGAGCTCTCATGATCTCATCAGTTCCCCAAAGTTCTACCTATGAACTTTGCATTGAGGACTAAGACTTCAACACACAAGCCTATGTTGGGGAGTGGGGGTGAGGAGTGAAGCCACACTTCATTCCAAACCATAGCAGGTATTGAGGCAGAAACAGGGAAACATGGGGTAGCTAGGTGTTGACCTGAGTTTGTTTTCAGAGTGAAACCAAGCCGTTCAGCTCGAGGACACACACACACACACACACACACACACACACACACACACACACGTGTTTTTTAGATAGGCTCTGATCTCTTCATACACAGTTGTAAATTTGGAAATACTCTCCTCGCTCTTTTTATTTCTTCTGGCAGCTCATCGGTTAGCAAAACATATTCAAGTGTGCAAGGTGGCCAATTATGGTTCTTAGAATAATATGAATACATTTTGTTGTGGAGATATCAATGTATTTGGTTGTAGAGTATTGGTCTGTAACCCACTAGGAATATTACATAATGTACAGCATAGTCACTGTGGTAATTTTCTAAAATCTAAAAAATCCTGAATTCTGAAAGTGTATATGTTCTTTTTTTTCCTGAAAATATACGAGATCAAGTTTAATTGCTTACCAAAGTGATAGATATTGATTGAGAATTGTGTTGATGCAGCTATGTAAATGTTTTTCTGAGGAAGTATAATGTTAATTTTGCTGAAATCTCTAATGAAATATTACCAATGAGTATTTCCCCAGGTTCCTAATATAGGGTAGATATTCAGAAATGTTATAATCAGGGCTTCAGAATATCAGCAAACACAAAACAAAAATGAAAATTTATTAAGTTGATAGAATCGGGCCCACTCT